GATTAGAACCGCTGAACTGCAGATAACAAGTCAGCTGAAGTGGCCTGCAGTACTGCACTCTAACCAGTGCGCCACCTCGGCTCTTGCCCAATACCCTTTCAGAACACAAGCCTCTTCATTACATCATCACCCAGTACATCTCAACCAAGCCTGGGACCCAGACAACCTACGAAACCTCTTCATTATATCATCACCCAGCAAGATTCAACCAAGCCTGGGACAATGACAGTCTACAAAGTTAGCTAAGACCCCCGCATAGCCCCCTGGGAGTCTGACAGCCATTTCTTGCAAGGTCCAAGAGGGGGGATAAATATATCTCACTCTCCACTCCATGTGTTCAGCTGAACCAGGACCATGTGCTTAATGGTTCTGCTCTATTAAAACCATCCTTCCAAGCAGCCTCCATGTTTCCAGTGTCTTTCTCCCCACTTGGAATGGGACACAGATGGACATTTCTTCCGACACCATAATATTGCTTCAACCTTCCATGCAACACTTTGTGGGATAATTGTCCCTGAGAAGAGGGTGAATCACGGAGAGTTGATAAGCATTACATACAGATGACAGAAATCAAGACCTATCGGATGACTGCTGTGAATACAATAAAAGCGAGACTAAACATGTTGGCAGCTTAAATGATTGCAGATTGAAAGTTTCCCCAAACCCCTTCTCCTCCCCCAGAGTCCAGCCCTGAGGGTTCACTCAACCCCCACTATGATGTTGTGTGAAGCTCATCTTTAGGTATTTTGCCCGCCTGGAGTCCTAGGACAGTTCGCCTTGACAGGATGTAAACAACTCCACTCGGCAGGGCAAGAATTATTGAGAGCAAACCTCCCTTTCGGTTCACGTGGGATTTCACCTCACTAGCTCACTTCCCCAACCCAAATGCCATGCCCCCTCCCCCCCCCCGCTTACGATGGCAGCTGATAGCAAGCATGTGTCAAAATCGAACCCCATGCTGAAGATTTGGCTGATAGTTTCATTCCACATAACATAACTATAGTATTATTTTTTTATCTTTTCTACTCCCCCATTACTAATATTATTATGATTATCATTGTTTGGTTGCTTTACATACACCGAGAGCTTCTGCACAAATTCCTCAAGTGTTTAACCACCAAAGTATTCAATTCAATTCTCCAAACCAGGTAACATCTTAGTTATTGCTGCCACTTAGTGACCAAGCGTAGAACTGCAGTGTTCCAATATCTCAGGGGTTGCCACCAAGAAATAATGGATGGAAACTAGAAAAGAAACTAGAGAATTTTCTTGACAGTGAGAAGAGTTAACCAGTGGAAGGCCTTGCCTCCAGAAGTTGTGGGTGACCCATCATTGGATGTTCTTAAGAGATTGGATAACCATTTGTCTGGAATGGTATAGGGGCCGTGATGGCAAACCTGTGACATGAGGAGCCATATTTGGTGGTACACCAGCTTTCAGCTCCTGATTTACCACCCTTCCGGAGGAGGCTGTTTTTGCCCTCCCCAGGCACCAGGAAAGCCTCCGGAGGTTGGGGAGGGTGAAAAACGGCCTCAACAGGCCAACCCGAAGTTTGGGAACAAACTTCTGGTGGCCCATTTTTTGCCCTCTCCAACCTCCGGAGACTTTTCTGAAACCTGGGGAGGGTGAAAAACAGCCCCAACAGGCCAACTGAAAGTTCGGAAGCCTCCAGAGCATGGGGAGGGGGTCACACACGCATGTGCAGTTGGGGGGGGAATTGAGTGGGCATGCACACGCGATAGGACAGTTTTGGCATGCCACGAGAAAAAGGTTGGCCATCATTGGTATAGGATCTTCCTGCCTTAACAGAGTTGGACTAAAACCCCCCCCCCCCCCCCCCCCAGGTACTTACCAATTTTGTTGTTCTGCATTGCCCATTTGGAGAGAAAGTGGAAATTTATCTTGGTATAATTCAAGGGAAAGA